TACCCCAGCTTGCTTAAGACCTTCGCATCCATGGCCAAGTCCAGGTCATGGCCCAGCGGCATCGGCACCGGCAGCTCCCAGTGATCACCATCAGTGGCAGCAAGCTTGGACGAGGGAGGACAAACTGCCTTGGTCTCATCGGTCGGCGGACGATGCGAGAATGTCAGAAATGTGCCGTCTTGTCACGTCGGACGCCCCCTCTCGGGTCTCCTTCTGGTCATCTCGATCCTCCCCTTTCGTCCATGTCTACGGAGGTTGCCAGAAGAGCCTGCATGCACTCTATGTCCACCGATCCAGACGGGAAGACATACATAGGGCCAAGGACGGCGCGAGGAGAATCAAATCAGTCCTCGAGGTACCTACCTGGTAGGCATCCGGCCATGCCCCAGCCCGGATCCTCACTCACTCACTCGCTCACTGATTAATACATACAACATTCATTCCGGCACCCTCTCTCTGTGTACACCCCCCATCCATCCATCCAACCATCCATCCATTCCCTTTGCTCCCCTTCCTAGATTTCATGCTACCCACCCCCAAGACAAGACCCCTGCGATTGTCCCCTTAGCTAAACGGGGCTGGGCTGGGTGCGTCTGCGAGTACAAACATAACGTCCTGCAGCAAGTGACTTCTTCCCTTCCTTTCCTGTTGTAGCTTGGTCTTTGTCCCGTCTTGGAGTACATGCATACATAGGTACAGGCCTAGCGGTACCTACATGCGCATACATACACACACACCTACCCTCATACACACTACTACATCCATCCATCTCTTATACCATACTTGCCTGCTCTCCATGTCTGGTATCCTTTGGCCCCGTTCGTGACTCTAGTCCATTTGCGTTATCTAGACGATATCCCGCCGTCAGAGATCACCTTGCTCTCTATCAATTTCACCTTGAGCTGTCCTCGGTTTACAGCGCTGACTCGCCGGGTCCTGAGCTGGCGGCAAACCCTCGACTCGTATAGGCAGAGACTCAAGTCACCCCGTTCTTGGCCTCCCGAACTCTCCACCCGAGACTGGACTGACTTCTCGTCCCAAACAAGCTTTGGGACCTCCTCGACGAACTTGCCCTGGCCCTCTGTCATCACTTCTCCAGACCTCTTCGCTCTCTACTGTCTAGCTTGCGCACTCGCCCTCCTTCTCTTCTACTCTCTCGCCCGAGCCCTGTATTGTTTATTGCTCTTCCCGTGCGCGCCATAGCATCCCGCCACTGCAGCATCCATCTCTATTCCCGAGCTTGCTTTGGCGTTTCTTGCCCGCTCTCTTCTTCTTCTTCTTCTTCTTCTTCCTCCTCCTCTCTCGCTCCGTTCTAGCTGTAGGTTTCTCCCATCTCAACTTCGGAGCGCCAATGTCTTACTTAAACGGCAGTGCAGCTTGACTATCTGGCCGAGCTTACCTGTTGTCTCACTCACACGCGGGGAAACGCAAGCCTCCCCCGCGCCATAGGTTTCAGGTACAGACAGACAGCCAGACGAGTTCCCAACTTCCTCGTCGGCAGCAAGCAAGCGGATATACAGCAAGCGGGACTGACGTGCTAATAACAACTACAATCTTGGAATCTCGCTTCTCGTGTGATATATATACTTTCATCTTGTTATCGCTGAGAGCAACTAACAAGGGCTGGTGTCCATCTCTCTTTGGTTGCTAACATACGAAGCGACTAGCTGTGTTCTTTGGAAGAGGATCATGTGTCTCTATACTCACAGTTGTTCATGAGCGCAACCCGACTCTGTCTAATAATCGGGGCTGCAACGCAATATTAGTGTCCCCAAAAGCCTTCGCCGCAAGCGAACAGTCGATTTTTCCTCGTTAGTGAAAGTCCAGATTGGGCCCTTCCGTCGGTCTCTCTGGGATTTTACCTCCCGCTTGATTCGATCTTTCTTTTAGATTTGCCCTGTCCTGGGTTGAGAAAGAGAACGAAGATGAATAACGCAATCGAGGGCTCGACGGGCATGACACCCGATACAATAATGACCCAGAGCAATGATTACGGAAATGACACTTGGAGTATCAGTCCCTACAGTCATAGTCCTTATAACAACAGTCCAATGAACGAGTATGGAAATTGGGGTGGGTTTATTCCTCAGAATCTGCAAACTGAGCAGCAGATGGCCTCCAGAATGCCTCCGCCCCAGCCGCAACCTCAAATCCATCACCAGATGATGCAGCCAACCCCTACCCCAATGGCCCACCATCAACTGCCGATGCTAAACACGACATGGCCGAGCCAGCTAACAAATCCCTCCCCAACGGGAAGTTACTCCGCGCCCCCTTTGTCCATGGCTCCGATCTCGAATCCTCAGCCAGTCGAGACTCCTCGGCAACAGCCTGCACCCGCTCCACCTCCACCTCAGGAGAAGGCACGAAGAACATTGAGCACAGAGCAAAAGCGTGCGATGTGCCTATACTATGAAGAGAATCCGTCAGCCAAGCAAGCAGAGATTGGGGCTCGCTTTGGTGTCGAGAGAAGGTAGGTACCCTGTTGGGGAGAGTTGCCAAGCTCCCAGCAGCAGAATCTTACCCCCGCGCATGCATGTGTGTCGTCGCTAACACCTGCCGGCTCTAGCACGGTTTCGAAAGTTCTACGGCAAAAGGAGCACTATCTCAAACGCGAGCAAGAACAGGAGCCCTCCTCGTCAAAGAGAGGCAAGGGTAAGCATCCTGATTTCGACCGAACGCTCAGCAACTATGTTCGGAGACAGCAGGAAGGCGGTTTCGAGATCAAGGACGAGGAGATTATGGACCAGGCGAAACTGTTCGCCCGCGCAAGCGGTCATCAAGACAGTCTCGTGTCAAGTCTGACCAGCAGCTGGCTGCAAAAGTTCAAGCAAAAGCATGGAATCACATCTGGTCGACTTATGAGACGTGCATCAGAGACGAACATACCGGATAGTGCCCGAATGTCAACATCGAGAAGCAAGAAAAAGAAGGAGAAATCAGACATCATTTCTCCAACTTCACCATCAGGGCAGAAGTCGCCGCTCTCGGACAGCCGCAGCGATGAGGACCAACAACACGACGGCTTCGACTTTAGCGCTTTCTCATATCGCCAAGCTGCCTCCCAGTCTGCCACGTCACTATCCAGCAACTTGCGTGATGCGGGCAATAACTCGTCTTTCTCAAGCAGTGCCATGAGCCCTACTGGAACCCTCACGTTTTCTCCCGACCCCAATACTGGTGCTTTCGCTGTGGACCAAACCTTACAAAGTCAAATGGCGGATATTAGGACATCCAGCATCACACCTTCTTCAGACCTCCAGCCGCGAGAGAAGCGAAGCAACACATTCCCGTCTCTCAACCTCGATCTCGTTAACCAGGTTGTTTCTTCAGAGCCGATGACGCCGCGCCACCAAATCCCATCGACTGCACCGTCCTCGGCTATCGAATCGCCTGTTCACGATTTCAACTCGGCCCCCTTTGGCATCGACAGTACACTGACTTCTCCTCCACAACTTCACCGAAGCAGCAGCAATTCGAGCATGACGGGGCGCTCTACGCCCATCACAAATGGGGGAACGATGCCAACAGCATCCATAGACTCGTCGCCAGTCTCGCCCTCCCAGGAAGATGCGTGCCGCGCGGCAACCACACTGCTCAGCTACATCCAAAGCAGCATGAAGACGAATGGCCAATTCGATAATTCCGAGCTGATGACGCTGATGCAGCTGACCAACAAACTGCAGGTTCACCAATACCAGTCTCTCCGACCTGCCATGGGGGGCCTCTCCAGAATCCCCGAGGGTGACGGCGAGGTGCCTGCACCAAACAATGAAGTGATGATGGAAACCATGTGACTATCATGGTACCCAGTGACCAGTGTGCTTGCTTGATTTGAATCTGGAAATGGTGGAGAGGATTCCATGGCGCTTGTCTACTTCCTACTGCCACATCCAACGACACGACAAGATTAAGCTTAAAAGCAAGCATCATGGCCACTCGGGCTTGAGTTTCTATTCCCTATACTACAACCTGCGCCGGCAACGGCTACAACAGGAGGAGCCGGTACTCCTACTACTCACCGCTCGTGCGACGAGGCAACCATGGAGAACAGAAACATGTGCAGAAAAAAAAACAGAGAGGGGGGCAACCACAGACGAAATCATCACGTTGCCAAGTTGGTGGGAGGCGGAACGATGTGTCAAATCATATTCCGTGGCTACGCGATGTGTGAAATTTTTACAATCTTTTGTTATCTTTTTGTTTTTTGGATGTTATTCATACGGGCTTACAGGTACGCAGAAAGAAGACTTGGGAGAGGAAAGAGCTTCACAGCTCAAGGAGCAGAAAGGGATTTGCACTATTTTGGTTTTACCGTTCATGCATTGTTTTTTCTTGTTTGGCTTTTGCTCCTTTTTTTACCACTATCATTTTCCCCTTTTTTCCGGGAACTGCATTTTTACTCTGTGCTTTTGTCACATCACATCATAATCCTCGCTCTCTATCATACCATATCATTATCTACAGGGTTATTCTACCGCATTTGTTCAATGGTCATCACCAACCATCATTATCACATCGGGGTTCATCGGGGGAAAGGGGGGGGTGTTGGATTCTAATGCCGGGCTAGTTCACGAAGCAGGTGACAGGACGGGAAGGCGGGGGCGCAGGAGAGCAACATGGGCATAGTGTCTATTGTGTTTTTTCTTCTTTTGTCTTATTTTAACCGGCGAATAGCGAAGCTGGGCTTGCACTTTGCTGCCAAGCGAACAGGACTGGATATCAGAGACGCTTTGTGCTACCCCCCCTGCTTGAGATGCTCTTCTCGCCGTGTGTTTGGCTCTTGTTTTCTCCGTGTGGATTTTATATAATTATTGGGGGCTGGATCGTAACGTTGATATCCGAGGGCCGGGTTGCGGGCATTCACTACCAACACAGGTAGTAGGTATACATACATTCATGTATAACAAACGAAAAAATACAACACGAGGACGAAGCAAAATAAACGGCTTCTGTCTGTATTAACTATTATCATTAACTTGACATTTGCATCCGTGTTTTCACCGCTCGCCTAGCCTCTCCTCCCACAGCTCCTCGACGCCCTTGTCGATGAGCTCCGGCATTAGCTTCACGAGGACGAGCTCCAGCACGCCGTACACCAGGTGCTTGTTGCAGTACTCGTCGGAGAAGACCATCAGCAGGGACTCCACTTGGTCGACCATCCTGTCCTCGTCCTGGCGCTCCATGTCGATATCGCCACCGCCACGGTGCAGCAGGCGACCTCCGAGGTACAGTCTGCCGGCAGTACTAGGGACCAGACTCCACAACGCGCTAGCCGCTCGCCTACGTAGGGCTAGCAGCTCCTCATCCGACGAAGGAGGTACCAACGAGGACTTCCCGGGGGCGTTGTTTGGGAAAAGCACGCCTCGGACGGTCCGAAGGAGGTGTGGGAGGTGCGACGAGGAAATGAGGGACTGGATGTAATGGGATAGGAATCTAAGAACCAAACATCGTTAGCGTAAGGTTCTAAGCCGAGTCACGGTAGGACTCCGGGCCATCAAGATAACAAGGTGAGAAGCTGCCTTAGTCGAAACAACAAGATTGCGGTAGGGAAGGAAACGAGTGGCTGCCTTGTCGGCGGCTGCACTAGGGATGGGGCGGAAACTCAAGGCGGCAACTGCAGCCATCAAGAAGCACTCTAAGGGATGGGTGTATGGTTGGTTGGCTGGCTGGCTGCTGGTGTGTGGGGGAGGACAGAAGAATGCTCGTGTTCCCGCCTTGTGCTCTCGTCGAGAGGTGGGCTTGCGAGGAATGGAGACCACTGGTGGATGAAACGCTGGCGGGCCTCAGTAGACGAACATATCCTCGTGAGCGTCGTTGGCTGAGCACTCGCTGCGAGCCTGATGGAGAGCTGCAGGCAAGGCGATCGCCTGATGCCTGCGCTTTACGCTAATATTCCGCAAGCGCACGCCTCTGGCCCACGCGGGAGACGTCAGACATGATCAAACGGCGGGGAAAACGAGGCATGTCGTCTCTAGCTCTGTTGGCTGTGGTAGACGCACTTTGCGTCGACACTAACATGGCCCGTCCCGATGCGTGATGTACATCTGTCACGGCAAGCATAACCAACAAGCGTCTTGGTCAAGCAACGTGACCCCGACCGGTATGACAAAGATCTTTTTTTCTGTCTCCCCAGACACCCCGATGCCTGCTCGCTCTTTGATCGTGTACTGCCGTACCTGCACGAGCCACTTGACGTGATAGTGTCGGAGTACATCAGACCCTGGTCAATGTCGGCGCGTAGAGCCGCGGTGTCGCTGGCTGGATTATCCAACGTGGTGCCACACCTGAGAGAGCAATCAGAAGCTCAATCTGCAACGGTGCACGCCAATTGGCCAGGCTAGAAACAACGCCAGCAAATCGATCTCTCCAGGGCTTGGATATTCGCTCATCCCCATAATTGATAGAGCAACTCCCCAGACCACTGTGAGCTATCATCGTCCTTTCGCAGACGCAACCCAAGCTAGTCGGACCAGGGGCCAGGCCAGAGGGCCGAAGGTAACTCTCTGTTGGCCAACTGCCATCGGGAGCAGCCTGGTGTCAATCAATGCTCACTAGAGCGGAAAATAAATGACGAGATCCACTGCGAATGGGTCTGGTCTGGTCTGATGTGATGTGACGGGATAGGAATGGACTTATTGCTGCCAAGGGCTTGCTTCCTTCTTCTTTCCGTATAGAGGCGTAATGAAATGGTGAAGAGCTTACCTATCAACTGTACCGTTGAGCCTGCCAATGCGGCCTGGACCCTTGAGACATCCATGCAGAACAAGGGATAGCATTCCGCTAAGCCAGGGCATCCTCGAGGGGAGCTCGATCAGATTACCGGCGCATGACCAAATGCTGAAGCTAAGAATCGGCGCTTTCGGATCATCGTGAGGCGCGGCCTCATCAACCTGCTTGGCGGATGTGGTTGGTTCGTTCTCGTCACCGTCAAGCACCAACCGAGGCGGCAATGAGGATGAGGCCACCACAGCCGACGCAACCAGGCGGATCGAGGTGATGAAGACGATTACGAGGTTGATGAGGGATAAGAAGAACCCGTGAACGTTCCACTTGCGGGGCAGCCCGCCAGTGCTAGCAGCCAGTCTTTCCGCGGCTTCTGCCCTCTTGCGCCGCTGCAAGTTGGCCAAGATGCAGAGACCTTCCCATATCAGCCATGGTTGCGCTACTCTGTTGGCTACCAGATTGCCAATGATGAGTTCTGAAAAGATTTGCCCCACGATGGCGGTAAGGCACGGGTTCTCGAGATCCTCAGTTGGTAAGAGAATCGCGAGCACGGCCTGGACTAGCAGCTGTCGGTACGCCGACTCATTGTCCTTTTGCTCCGTCACGGTGGCCTCATCGTCGCTTAGAGGAACAGGGGATAGAGAAGGTAGGGGAATAAGCGCATGATAGACCTGCCTGGGCTCAACATGTACATGGCTCTGAGCAGCTGGTCGATGCGCAGCGCGATAGGCTGGAACTCGTTAGCTGGCGGCGTTCACCATATCACCCTCTTCCTCCCATCTCGTGACTCGAAGAGCGCACCTGTGATGTGCTTGTCTAGTAAATCCGGGACTTGATCCAGCAGCAAGCTCTCCCAGTCCACCTTTCTGGACCGCTGCTCCAGCGCGCGAGTGAGGTGTGCGATGATGTGCACAATCTCCGCCACAAAGTTCTCGTCCGAGGTGATCTTTCCGTACCAGCTCTGGACAAACTGCCTTAGGATGATCGCCAGGAAGGCATAGAGCTCGAGGTCAACGTCATTCCGGCTCGTAAGGGGGGGCAACAGCTCCTCTATGGGCTTCTGGGTGTCGCGGCCCTTGTCACCGAGTTGCTGAGGGCATAGCGTCCGCCGTATCAGGGCTGAGGTTGCCCGCGCAGAGAGCGGATCTGATGCCGGCGCTCGACGCACTGCTGCCGCCACCTTGGACTCGGTGTCGGTGGCTGATGAAGTCGGCGGTCTCAGACGAGGGGCAGGGGTGCCGAGTGGTTGTGCTGCGACTGTCGTCATGACATCAGGATAGCGGCGCCGTCCAGAGGGAACGCTGTTGGAATCATGACCCAGCCGGGGGCTTCGCTTGGTGTTACACAGCTACGGTGCTCTGTGGGAGGCAGTTCGCCGGTCTGCAGTCGCAGTGCTTGTGTCGTGGATCTCGGTGAGTGGGATGTCGAGGTCAGTGGCGGTGCGAGCAGTTCGCAGCTGCTCCTCTATTTCTGTCTATGTACTTGCCTGAACCGTGCGCTGCGTATCGCTTCCTCCTTATCGGCTTAACCTAGACCGCGTCCACATGCATTCCACCCAGAACAACATTAAATGCCAAAGTAGATAAAGCTCTTGGTGGTTATCTTTCGAATCTCATTTCATTTCGTTCTCGGCCATTTATCTCGTCGGCTGGAATTTTTTCTCGCGTTGGATGTCAATTGATATTGAGCAGCTCTGACATCGAACTGTTGATGAACTACAAGGTCAGGGAACCCAACCAGTAATTTCCACATGGCACGTCTTGAGAGTGTACCAGTGAACTACTCAAGTATTTGTTGACTACAGGAAGCATTCACACGTGAACAGTTTACAATGCAGAGCTGGGTGGCCAGTAAGGAGAAAGTCGTTTCAGATCAAGTTCAAGAGATTCTATATCCAGTCATGACAAATACTAGTACATATATTCTGTACAAAATTGTTACACTATCTATGAGCCTGTCGGCATTTCGTCAAGGCCACGGCATGGATTTACGGCTCAGTGTTGAAGGTGGTTGTTTCATATCTATGCAGACGTTAGCAATCTTTCTCAATGGCAACGGATGAATCACGGAGTTAGGACTGACCTCTTTCCACGGAATGCCCAAACACCCCAGTTGCCGCTGCTGACATCCTGGGGGTCGAGATCATTCAGATCCCATCGCAAACTACGGAAGCTGTTCTGGCCAGGTTCTAGAAGAATGTCAAATTCGCCACCTGACTTCTTCTTAACCCATTCAACATCTCGCTCGAGGTCGAACTGTGTGTATCCAGTGCTGATAATGGGAACCTTGGTCTCCAACAGCAATGGCAGAGTTTCCTCCCAATCATGACTGCTGGCAGGATGACCCAGGCCAGGGTGGAATAGCACGAAACAGTCAAAGTATGGATCGTGGGGAGCAAAGTAGCCCGTCTTGTGGATTGTGTGATAATAGTCCACGATGGTACTGATCTTCATCCTGTACCAGACCCGGTCCTCCACAACAGCGCCCCAGGGGTTTTCGGGTGTGCGCGCAGGCAGGGGGAACTCATCATCACGGTTCGCCATGCTCTCGGGGCCAATGAAGATGAGATGGAACCGTGCATCAGGGAATAGATGAGAGAGCTGGATCCATGTGGCACGTGGTAAAGAAGATTCGGCCCTAGCTCCAAGTACGAAGATTCGAACAGCTGGAGGTTCTGGGCGTAGCTGATCAACGCGGGAACCAGCGCCGGTCCTTTGCGGATGGAGATTGTATCTTAGAGCTAGAGCGAGTGTCATTACAATATTCTCATACTCACTAGACGAGACAGTTATCACTTACCACTAAAACTCTTCAAGCCCTCAACAGTCAAACGACCGCCCGACTTGAGACTATAAGGACTGAGTTCATGAAGAACACTGCCAACAGTGATTGGGTACGTCAGAAGCCTGGTAATCTGCCTCATTGAGCGATCTGTATCAACTGCATCGAACTCTCGGGTATACATGAACGTATCCCAATTCGTCATGTTGACCATGGCATGCTCCATCTGGATATCAGGGAGGTTTGCCTCGTGGAACACACGGCCTGATCGAAGATCATGATCATCCTCGTTGATCTGTCGCAGAGTGTCGCAAACCTTGAGATGGTTCTCGTAATCATCCATCCAATGTTCCTTGCTACAGTAAACAGGGATCCCACAGTCGGGACATTCAAAGTCCACATGACACGGAGCGGAGGATCCGCCTGTCTCGGGCTGGTCCTCGGCCTTGGGGGCAATTGTAGGGACCCTAGTGAGCTGGTGATCTGGGTGAGGGCAGAATGCGTGTTCTCTCATGAAGGCTGCTCGGCGTCGGAATTCGGGAACCGGGGAATTGGTAAATGAATGAAACAAGTTGTCGGGACTCAACCTCGAGGACGGATCAGAAGAGGGCGGGGCGGGGGCAGCAGCGGCCGCAGATTCAGCCTCGAGTTTCGCATTGGAGCTGAAGTCCCTTACTTTTTCGCTGCTTCCAGTCAGAGAGTTCGATCGCTTTGTTTGATACGAGGCCGTTCCGTGAAGAGCTCGGACATGGCGGATCGGGGCCGCTGTGATGTGCTGTGGTGATCTCTGTGACACCAATTGCCTTCTCAGAGAGGCAGAGCAGCGCCCGCAAAATGTCGAGGCAGCCCGCCGCAGCGATGGTTCCATTCCGGCAGGTTTCCAGTCAATTGGACTGAACAAATGGCAAGATTGCTGAACAAACCCTAGCTCTTGCTTGCACCTCACCATGAGAATCCAGATGTGGTTCGAGGAAGCTCGGACCACCCGCCAAAATATGCGCCGCGAAAATATTAATCCGCAACCCGCCACCCCAAATCCTTAGCCAGCTTAGGTGCTTGGAAACTTTTCAAGCTCCCAGGCGAGAGCTTCTGCTACCTACATCTTGTCGTGGGTTGCATGGGCGGCACGCTCTTCACAAGCCATCGGCATCGCCAATTCACGTTTTGCCGCCGCGTAGGCTTTAAATACGCCCAACCGCAACAATGGCGACCACCTCGAACATGTTCCTGTACTCGCTGACGATCCAGCCGCCAACTCACGTCGTCCAAGCTGTTCTGGGTCAGTTCGCAGGCACCAAGGAGCAACTCATCATCACAGGGGCTGGGTCGCGTTTGACTCTTCTACGACCCGACCCCCAGCAGGGAAAGGTCATAACAGTGCTATCTCACGACATTTTTGGCATTATTCGCTCAATCGCGCCTTTCCGGCTTGCAGGAAGCAACAAAGGTAAGTCATCCCGTCAACTTTCCGATATTACGAGTGTCACTTAGTGATATCAAGAAGGGCGCAACAGGGCCTGCAAAGCGTAGCCTTACCTGGGACATTTAAGCCCAGTTTGGTTCTTCTCTAGAAGTCAAATTGCTAACCGTATTCGTTGAAGACTACCTGATTCTGGCAACGGACTCTGGCCGAATCACCATTATCGAGTATCTTCCCAGCCACAATCGCTTCCACAGACTTCATCTGGAAACCTTCGGCAAATCTGGTGTCAGAAGGGTCATCCCAGGAGAATACCTCACCTGCGATCCCAAAGGCCGAGCGTGTTTAATCGCGTCAACAGAAAAAAACAAGCTTGTCTATGTTTTGAACCGCAATGCCCAGGCGGAGCTGACAATCTCATCTCCCCTTGAGGCTCATAAGCCCGGTGTTATCGTGATATCCATGGTGGCATTGGATGTTGGCTACGCGAATCCAGTGTTTGCTGCCCTCGAGGTCGATTATTCGGATGTGGACCAAGACCCTTCTGGCCAAGCCCTTGAGGCTCTAGAAACACAACTCGTTTATTACGAGCTAGATCTTGGTCTGAATCACGTGGTACGCAAGTGGTCAGAGCCCGTGGACCCCACTGCCTCTGTCCTCTTCCAAGTGCCTGGAGGCAATGATGGACCTAGTGGCGTCCTTGTTTGTGGAGAGGAGAACATCACGTACAGACATTCGAACCAAGAAGCCTTCCGTGTTCCCGTCCCCCGCCGTCGCGGCGCAACGGAGGATCCCACAAGAAAACGAACAATTGTTGCAGGCGTTATGCACAAGTTGAAGGGCAATGCTGGCGCCTTTTTCTTCTTGCTGCAAACAGAAGATGGCGATTTGCTGAAAGTTACCATCGACATGGTTGAAAACGAAGAGGGCGCTCCTACTGGTGAAGTCAGAAGACTCAAGGTCAAATATTTTGACACAGTCCCAGTGGCATCCAGCTTGTGCATTCTCAAAAGTGGTTTTCTTTATGTTGCAAGCCAGTTTGGAGACTACTCGTTCTATCAATTCGAAAAGCTAGGTGATGATGACGACGAGCTGGAGTTTTCAAGCGATGATTACCCTGTCGCTCCTGATGCTCACTACGAACCCGCCTACTTTTACCCTCGACCAGCCGAAAATCTGGCCTTGGTAGAAAACATCCCAGCGATGAACCCTGTCGTCGACTGTAAAGTCGAGAATGTTACTGGTGAAGATGCTCCACAAATCTTTACTGTCTGTGGTAACGGGGCTCGAAGTTCTTTCAGAACTCTGAAACATGGGCTGGAGGTCAACGAGATTGTCTCATCTGAACTGCCTGGTATTCCATCAGCAGTCTGGACACTGAAACTCGACCGCTCCGATAAGTATGATGCTTACATCGTACTTTCATTCTCAAATGCGACGTTGGTATTGAGCATTGGTGAAACAGTCGAGGAGGTAAGCGATTCTGGCTTCCTCACTAGCGTGCCCACATTGGCTGCCCAACTTTTGGGCGAAGATAGTCTTATCCAGGTTCATCCTAAAGGAATAAGACATATAAAAAATGGGCAGGTCAATGAATGGGCGGCCCCTCAACATCGTTCCATCGTCGCAGCTACCACCAATACCAAGCAAGTCGCTATTGCGCTGAGTTCCGGTGAAATAGTTTACTTTGAAACTGACTCAGATGGTTCTCTAGCGGAATACGACGAGAAGAAGGAGATGACTGGGACAGTCACGTCACTCAGTTTGGGTGATGTCCCTGAAGGCAGACTACGAAGCTCTTTCTTGGCTGTGGGTTGCGACGACTGCACTGTTCGTATTCTCAGCCTGGATCCCGACTCCACCCTTGAGAATAAGTCAGTACAGGCTTTGACTGCTGCACCGACTTCCCTGGCTATCATTGCTATGGAAGACTCTTCTTCTGGTGGCTCCACCTTATACCTGCACATCGGATTGCATTCTGGTGTTTACTTGCGGACCGTTCTGGATGAAATCACCGGTGAGCTGACTGATACCCGCCAAAAGTTCTTGGGTCCAAGGGCCGTCAAGCTGTTTCAGGTCACTGTCCAGGGCACCACATGTGTTCTCGGTCTCAGCTCACGACCTTGGCTCGGCTACGCTGACCCCATTTCGAAGGGTTTCGTAGTGACGCCGCTTGATTATGTAGATCTGAACTGGGGATGGAATTTCAGCAGTGAGCAGTGTGAGGAGGGTGTTGTCGGTATCCAGGACCAATCCCTACGGTATGTTAATTTTCTCATTTCTCGCACTTTCTATTGCCACGTCCTATGATGAGAACTTGGGATCCTACGCCTACGGGCAATGAGGTTCTTACGCATTTTTTATTCCAAATTGTTCCTACTGATATGGACTTTCTTTTTACTTTGTTCACCCAATCTATTTGCATAACGCATCTCAACCAGATTGCTAACATGCATATGCACAAGAATTTTCTCCATTGATCGGTTGGGGGAAACCCTAATTCAAAAGTCAATCCGGCTTTCACACACACCGAAGAAATTCGTTAAGCATCCTGAGCACCCGATCTTCTACACTATTGAGGCGGACAACAATACCCTATCTCCTGACTTGCAAGCTAAGCTTCTAGCTGATCCTCAGACGGTGAATGGGGGGCACAATACCCTGCCGCCTGAAGATTTTGGCCACCCACGAGGTAATCGTAGGTGGGCCTCGTGTATGAGTGTTGTCGATCCTGTCTCGGAGAACCCATCGGTACTACAAACAGTTTACCTTGAAGACAACGAGGCTGCCGTAAGCGTTGCTGTTGTTCCATTTGCTAGTCAGGACAACGAGAGCTTTCTTGTTGTTGGAACTGGCAAGGATATGGTCTTGAGCCCTCGCAGTTTCACCGAGGGGTATCTGTACGTGTACCGGTTCCAAGAAGGCGGCAAGGAGTTGGAGTTTATCCACAAGACAAAGGTCGAGGAGCCACCTCTGGCACTGCTCCCTTTCCAAGGAAAAGTTGCAGCGGGTATTGGCAAGACCCTCCGAGTCTACGATCTTGGAATGCGACAATTGCTCCGCAAGGCCCAAGCCGATGTTGCTCCTCAACAGATCGTGTCCCTAAATACGCAGGGGAACCGTATCGTGGTTGGCGATGTGCAACAAGGAATGACCTATGTAGTGTACAAGCCATCCACTAACAAACTCATCCCATTCGTCGATGACACCATCGCACGGTGGACCACCTGTTCGACAATGGTGGATTACGAGTCGACTGCAGGGGGTGACAAGTTTGGCAACATGTTCATCGTAAGATGCCCACCGAAGGCTAGCGAGGAGGCTGATGAGGAACAGTCCGGTCTTCATCTCATTAATGCGCGGGATTACTTACACGGGACTTCACATCGACTGAACCTAATGTGTCACTTTTTCACGCAGGATGTCCCAACCAGCATCACCAAGACAAGTCTCGTTGTTGGAGGGCAAGACATTCTGCTGTGGAGCGGCATAATGGGTACCATCGGCGTGTTTATTCCTTTTGTGAGTCGTGAAGATGCGGACTTCTTCCAGAATCTGGAACAACATCTGAGAACAGAGGATCCACCTATTGCAGGTCGAGATCACTTGATGTATCGAGGTTACTATGCTCCTGTGAAGGGTGTCATCGACGGTGACCTCTGTGAGAGATATACACTTCTTCCGAACGACAAGAAGCAGATGATTGCTGGCGAATTGGATCGCTCAGTTCGGGAGATTGAGCGAAAAATATCCGTAAGTCATGCCCACCATTAGACTATGAAGCTACGCAGTGCTAACATTTGATTAGGATATCCGAACTAGGTCAGCATTCTAAGACGGAGAGCATCACGCAACCTTTGACTTCCGCAGTGGTCCCGTCTGCCCTGTGGAAGGTTGTTAATTTATCATTCAGGGGGGACCCTGAGGGTTAATATTGGATCTAACATATGCGAAAACCAACCCGAATAAAATTATCAACAACAAGATTAACCTCCGAGAAACTAACTCCATGAACTCCACGAACATCAGCCCCGTCACCATAATCTCCACGGAGATCCACGCTTCCGTTGCACGTTGGTTTGTCTGGGCTTCGTTTGATGGGCACTCTCCCATGCATCATCCTCAAAATAGACTTTTATAGCCGCCGAGATATCATAATCGGCCTGTTCGAGATACAACACAGCTTCGTCGTAATCGGAGACTTTACAAAATGTCATAAATCGGCGGACTTTGGTCTTTCGCAGTTCCTCATCTTCGCCCTCTATGGCTCGTGGGGAGAGGCTCACACCGCCCTTATAATACTGTCCAGGAATCAGTATGGTTCGTCGGCCAAGCAGCAGGTGGTCACTGGTGATTTGGTTCGTCTGGCGCAAGGCTGCCGCGGGTACACCGTAACGAAGTGACAGAGAAGTTATGCTGTCGTGTTCATGGTTTAGGAAGTGGAGGGT